TACTTCCTGTAATAGTATTGCCTGCTACTACGACTACTACCACTACTACTACTACTACTACTACTACTACTACTACTACTACGACTACTACTACTATTACTACTACTGCTACGAGTACTATGACGAGTGGTATTATTATTATAACAACAACTACTACTCGTAGAATTACTACTACGACGACTACCACTACTAGTCCGAATTCGACTACGACCACTCCCACGACCACTCGTGCTACTACTACTACTACTACTACAACTATTACTTCTACGACTACTTCTACTACTACTACTACTACTACTACTACTACTACTACTACTACTACCACTACCACTACCACTACGACTCCTACTACTACTACTAATAATAATACGACTACCGTTACTACTACTACTACTACTACTACTACTACTTCTACTACTACTACTACTACTACTGCTACTACTACTACTACTACGACTACTACTACTACTAATATTACTACTACGACTACTACTGCTATTATTATTGCTACTACTACCACTGCTACGACTACTATTATAACTACTACTACTACTACGACTACCACTACCACTTCTACTACGACTACTACTACGACTACTACTACTACTACTAATACTACTACTACTACTACTACTACTACTACTACTACGACTACTACCATTACCACTACGACGGTTACAACTACTTCTACGACGGTTGCTACTATTACTGCTACTACTCCTACTACTTCTGCTTCTTCTACCACTGCAGATACGACTACTACTAGCACTACGACTACGACGGTTACTGCGGCGACTACGACGACTATTGTTACTACGGCTACCGCTACCACCGCCATTGCTAGCACAACCAGTATTACTACTACTTCTACTACTACTACTACTACTGCTACGACTATACTATTACTACTACTGCTGCTACCACAACTACTACTACTATTACGACTGCTACTACTACTAGTACTAGTGGTACCAGTACTACAACTACTACTACTACTACTACTACTACTACTACTACGACTACGACTACGACTGCTACGACTACTACGACTATTACTACTACTACTACTATTACTACTACTACTACTACTACTACTACTAGTAATACGACGACTACGACTACTAATTTTACTTCTACGACTACGACTACTACGACGACGACGCCTACGATTGGTGCTACTTTTACTACCACTACTACTACTACTACTACTACTACTACTACTACTACTTCCACTACCACTACTACTACGACTGCTGTTACTGTGACTACTACTACTACTACTACTGCTACTGAAACCTACCAACGGCTACCACTTTCACGATTCGTCTTGCGATTTCTACGATTATTACCACAACTAGTATTACTACTACGACGACTGCTACGACTATTCTTAGTACTGCTACTACTACTGCTACTACTACGACTACTACTACTACTACTACTACCACTACTGCTACTACTACTACTGCTACTGCTACTGCTACTACTACTACTATTACTACTACTTCTACTACTACCACGACTACTAGTATTACTAGCACGACTACGATCACTACTACGTGTATGATGACGACGGCGACGGACACTACATCTACGTTTACGACCACGACTACAACATCAGATGCTACTATTACGGCTGCTTTTTTCTACTACGACTGCAATTTGTATTATTGATATTCGTACTGTTTCTCTCCTTATTGCTACTACTACTACTACTACTACGACATCTTCAACTACAACAAGTACTAGTCCGACTATTTCTACTACGCCTACTACTACGACTACCACTACAACTACCACCACTATTACTACTACGACTACGACTACTACTACTACTACTACTACCACTACTACTACTACGACTACTACTACTACTACTACTGCTACTGCTACAACAACCACTACTACTACGACTACGACTACGACTCCTACGACTGCTGCTAATACTAGTACTACTACTACTATTACTACTACGACTAGTACGTCTACTACTACCACCACTACTACTACTACTACTACTACTACGACTACTACGACTACTACGACTACTACTACTACTACTACTACTACTACTACTGCTTCGGCTACTATTTTCTACTACTGCTACTACTACTACTACTACTACTACTACGACTACTACTACTACTACTACTACTACTACGACTACTACTACTACTACTACTACTACTACTACTACTACTCCTACTCCTACTACTCCTACTACTACCCCTACTGCTGCTACGACCACTACTACCAAAATCGCTACACCATTATTGGTACGACTGCGACTTCGGCCACGTTTGCTAACACAGCACAAAATACCGTGTGACGCACCCTGACCCTAGGCACCAAGGGATGTTATAAGGTGTGCGGACAATCGCGCGGCAACAACATTGCAAGAGGCGGTGTACGGTGGGTATATATATATATATAGATCGTGCGGAGTGCGCTAGGTCGACCCGCAGAACAAACAGAGATACAAAAGGCCAGGAGGCATTCTATTGGGAAGGTGAAGCACAAGGAAGGCATGGGGGTGGAAGATCAACCACCCTTGCAGAATTGGCAAGGTGATGGAGCATGGGCAAGATAAGGGTACATTGGCGGAGACGCAACCAGACAGTGAAGTGTCGCGCTTCTCCACGCGTTCGTGTTCTTATGCATTGTGTTGCCGGTTGGCGCGGGCCCTCGCACCCCCTCTCCCCCACCCCCATGGAGTCGATCTTGCCTGTTTTTGTCGCCTGTTTCAGGCCTGTGGGGGCTCCCCCAACGCACTGCTGCAAACAATCGCATAAAGCAGAGTCCAGAGCCAGACCCTCCCCTCCCCCCCGTCCGCCCAAATAAGAAAACGCTCACAATTCCGAAATGCTGAACGCATGCGTAGCCAACGCCCACCGTTGCTGCAGCGCTTCGGAAAATGAGAGAGCTCCGTTACTAGTGTAAGATGCGGTCAAGGCCTTGTTCGCCCGCCATTATTTTCGTTTCTTTTCCGTTTCTTTTAATGCGATCGCTAAACGCGCGCAGGCGCGCCGCCAGCCTTCGAAATTGGCGACGTTCCCATATTTTGCAATCCCACCCAGGGATGGCGAGGTCCCACTTGGGTCTGTATGTGACCCCATTGCGTAGGCCCCCCCCGACACCCCTCGAAATGGTTACAATTTTATGTGTCGCAACCGCCCCAGGGATGGCGAGGTCACGTTTGGGTTCGCGTGGGGCCTCACTATGTTCCCCCCCCCAGCAGCTTTCGAAAGCGGCGACAGTTTCACACTTCGCAGCCCCTCCAGGGATGGCGAGTTTGTTGGGGGCCTGCGTGGGGCCCTATTGTATTGTCCCCCCCAGCAACCCTCGAAAGTAACGACAGCTTCGCACTTCGCAGTCCTCACAGGGATGGCGAGGTCCCGTTTGGGCCCGCGAGGGGCCCCATTGTGTTGCCCCCCTTTTCCCCCGCAGCCTTCAAAAGTGGTGGCAGTTTTACATTTCCCCCCAAGGGGTGGCGGGGTCCATTTTGGGTCTGTATGGGACCCCACCCCCCAGCAGCCCTCGAAACTGGCGAGAACGTCACACGTCGCAGTCCCCCCAGGGATGGCGAAGTCCCGTTGGAGGCAGCGTGGGACGCCCCTGCGCTAGTCCCCCAGTAGCCCCCGAAGTGGACGACAATTGCACGTTTCACAGCCGCCCCATGGATGGCGAGGTCCCGTTTGCGTCTGCGTGGGACCCCACTGCGTTGGTACCCACAGCAGCCCTTGAAAATGGCGACATTTCCACACTTGGCAGCCCCTCCAGGGAATGCGAGGTCCGGTTTGCGTTTGCGTGTGGCCCTTTTCTGTTGGGTTCCCAGCAGCCATCCAAATTGGCAACAGTTTCACATGTCGCGGCCGCCCAGGGATGGCGAGGTCCCGTTCGGGTTCGCGTGGAACCCCAGTGCGCTGGCTCCCCCCAGCAGCCCTCGAAATTGGCGACAGGTTCGCACTTCGCAGCCCTCCTAGGGATAGCGAGGTCACGTTTGGGTTTGCGTGGGGCCCCACAGCGCCGGCCCCCCCACAGCAGCCTAAAGCGGCGACGCTTTCAAATTCTGCAGCCCTCGAGAGTGACGCGAGAGGAGAGAGCCGAGAGGACAACGGGGTGAGGCGGGAGGAAAAGGACAACGAGAAGGGAGTCGGCACCCCACTGCTTTATGGAAAACGAAAACCCAACCAAGGGAGGGCTGGGAACTACAGTAGAGACCCATGCCAAGAAACACCCTGCTCGCCTCCAGGGTGCCCTGGGTGTCTTGGCTTTCGATGGTTTTGCTATGGAAAGCGTGGCGCTCCCACACCAAATTATCAATAGACGTCCTGGGGTCTCAGGGTTGGGTTTCTTGTGGAAGGTTTCTTGTGGTCGGGCCTCTACTGTAGTATGCTATCGGAGCGCCCCACATCAAGGTTTCATTCAGTCGCGGGCCTAGGGTAGAGCACCCTCGCCAGCCGCGGTTTGGCGGGGCCTCCTTGATGGGGTGGGCTGTGCACGAAAATTAGTAGATAACGTGGTATTCCGATGGGAAAATCCATGCGTTTGGCCTTTGGGGGCTCCCTTGGGACGCCTCTTGGAGGTCTCGTGGAGGCCTCTTGGGCCGTCGTGGGCCCATCTCGGGCGTATTGGAGCGATCATTCGGCGACTCGAGGCCTCTTTGGGCCGTCTTTGGGGGGTGTCCTGGCCCGTCTTGGAGCGCTCCTGAGCCCGAAAAAAATCACGCGACAAGATGCGCCAAGGCACAAGTGAATTGCGCCAAGCCCAGGGCGATTTGCGAATGTGGGTTCTGGGGCTTTAATTGTTCAGGAGTGACGACTGAGGCTCCGAGGGGTAGTGGAAGGATTCGAGGACACGCCCACTCCGTGCGCAGCGGCAAGGTGGCGGGTTCAAGACACGCAAACACAAGCAAGCACAATTCCATATTAGGAGCACCTCCTCCTCCTCCTCCTGCTCCTATGCCTCCTGCTCCTGCTCTTCCTCGTTGGCCTGGGGAGGCGACACGCACGGAGCCGCCAACGGAGCCGCGTTCTTCCGGAAGCGCTCCAAGACAGAGACTGAACCTTCGTTATCTGGGGTGTCCGTTAAGTTCGATTTGCCTTCAGGCGCAGGGTTGGAGGATACGGAGGAGGAGGAGAAGGGAGGAGGAGGCGGACCAGCAGATGAAACAGAGCGAGAAGGAACAGGTGATGAATATAAGCAGCAGCAGAACGACGAGGAGGAGCAGCAGTACGACGATGACGAGGAGAAGGATGAGGACCTGATGAAGCAAGCGGAGAGCGGTACGTAGAGCATGGGCAATTGAGTTCGGAGTTGTTAAACCGCATCTGCATCAGCCCCCCCCTGCCTCCTCTGCATTTTCCTCCACTGTCCTCATCGAAGTCGCCGTCCATTCTGATTATTTTCATGCTTACGTATCCCTGCTGTTCCTCATTCCCCTCCTCGCCCTCCCACCTGAGTATCATCCCTGCCCCCTCCCCCTTCTCGTGCTCCATCCTCCTGCTTCTCCTCTTCCTCCTCATCAGCAGCATCATCATGCTTATCAGCATCAGTAGTATTATCCTCATCATCATCATCATCATCATCAACATCAACATCATTATCATTATCATCACCATCATCATCATTATCAACAACATCGTAAGCATCGTAAGCATCATGGTCATAATCATTATCATTAGCAGCATCATCAGCATAAGCAGCCACAGCATCAGCAAACATCATCATATTCGGCATACGCATCATCACTAGCAGCATCATCATCAACATCAGCATCATCAGCATCATCATCGCCAACATCCTCTCATCATCAGCAGCACCATCAGCATCAGCTTCATCCTCATCATCCCCATCATCTCTCATCATCATCATTACCATTCACTGTCAGCCATTATCATTCATCACCATTCATCATCGTTATGCTCATCGTCCTCACCATTATCATCACCAACACTATCTTCAGCAGTCGCATCATCATCATCATCATCATCATCATCATCATCATCATCATCATCATCGTCGTCGTCGTCGTCGTCGTCGTCGTCGTCATCATCATAATACGTTTCCCATTCCTCCCCATCGCTTTAGAATCTCCCCCCACCCACCCGGAAAATACCAGACCAGGGATTTCCCCAACGGCGTCTGCACACGCGACGACTATCTCCAGACCCATCGATTACGAAAGACGATTTTGCTGGATCTCCAGCACTCTTGAAAGCTACCCCCCGGGGACACAGCATAGCGGCGGCAATTGCACGCCTGGCAGCAGCCAGGGAGGGCGAGGAGGAGACGAGGGAGACACCAGTCCGCTGGATCCAGGGACACGTCAAAGCGCGCGGCAAGGGCGAAGGAGCGACGAGTACAGTCAAACCCAGGCCAGAAGAGCATCCCTCATGAACATGAGCCCTCCGTCGTCCAAACCAAACAGAGCATCGAAGGGTACCTTCCGAAGGGTGCACAAGGACATCCCACAAGCACGGAGAGCACTGGGGTACCGTCCCCGAACCAACCTCGATGTTTCTGCCTCGGTCCGACTATAAGTTGCTAGGCCGCTGGATTCCCCCGGGACACGGCAAAGTGCGCGGCCGCGGATCGCCGGGCAGCACCCTCTGCTGCGGCGACAGCGGGCTGTCCCGGTCGTGTGAGCCGGGGGGGGTTCTGGCGGCTATGTCGTCGCCGTCGCCGCCCCGCCGCCACCTGTCGTTTGGGGCTGGGGGTCGGTCTGGCGGCTCTCTTGTCGCCGTCGCCGTCCCGCCGCCGCCGGTCGGTGGGCGGGGAGATGCTTGAAAGGGCCGTAAACGTCCGTTCTTGCGTGCTTCGAGCGTGGAGAAAGCCCAAGGATGCAAGGTGCAAGCAAGTGCTGAGTGCGTGCCTTTGGGCACAGCTTGATGCATGCATGACGGAAATACCAGAATTGCATACGTGTACAAAGCACAGCCAAGTCATGCAAGAGTATTGGAGAGGCCTGACGGCCAGTGCCGCCGACCCTGATCGAAAGGGCTAGGAGTGGGGGGAGGAAGCGGAGGATGATGAGGAGGAGGAAGAGGATCATCCTTTGTGTGCCCGCTCGACGAAAGTGCGCCCCGGGAGTGTGACATTCTGACTTGGGACGCGCTCCCGGAACAGGAAGAAGTGCATCTTGGGCTTGCCCGACCGAGGAAAATGCGCCCTACGGGGGTGGTATTTTGACTCGGGGCCCGCTCCCGGGACGCCTCTGCGGGAGGAGGAGGAGGAGGAGGAGGAGGAGGAGAAGGAAAAGGAGGAGAGGAGCAGGAGGAGGAGGAGGAGGAAAAGGAGGAGGAGGAGGAGGACCAGGAGGAGGAGGAAGTGCATCCCGTGCGTGCCCGCTCGAGGAAAGTGCGCCCCGGCGGCCGTCGTATCTGCCCCGGGCCCCCCCCCCCCCTCCGGGGAAGGGATCAAAGGGAAGGGGCTTCCCTTCGACTCCACTACGACGTCGTTTAATTTCGCTTTGGATAGCGCGCTTGAGGAGGAGAGCCCTGGGAGGGGGAGAACGGAGACGACGGAGACGACGAGTCGAACGGAGAAGCCCCTCACACACGCCGACAGGGTCGGCGGATTTGTGGGCAGCGCTTTCTGCATACCTGATTGAGATATTACAATTGCATAAGGATGCAAGGCGCAACCACATGATGCAAGAGCTAACCCAGGATCTTTGCCTCCGCCATCGTCATTGCCAGTGGCGACGACGGCGGCCAAGATGCGAGAGGCGTGCGAGAGGCGTCACGAAGGGTAATGTATTGGACGAGGCGTGTAAGAGGCGCGTGAACAGCAAAGTGCAATTGTATTGCAAGTGCCCGGGCGTGCTATCTATCGTGTGTTCTGTTTGTTTTGGTGTTGGACCTTCACACTTGTCTACCTACGTGTGTTTTTTGCTGATAACATATGTTTGCGCATTGACGTAATAGTTAGCAGGTATGTCGTTTTAAGTAGTTGTTTGGTTGGGGATGCATTTCGCACGTATCCATGTACATGTACATCTATGTGGAACAGAGATCACATAGAACAACACGCGAGGATTTGCAGTAGGGCGGATCGCGTAAATCCATTGAGTCGCACATATGCACATACACGCTTCAAAGCCCTTCCCTTTCTCTTCCCCTCCTTCAGCCCCTCCCCCTCCCAAGCTATGCAGACACACACACACACACACAAACACGCACCTCGAATCCCAAACCCTCCCCCTCTAGTCCTATCCCTCAGCTTCTCCATCCCCCCCATCCAGCCCTTCCTGGTAGTGGACGGCCCTGCCATCTCGACTCGGGTGCCTCCCTCGAAGGCGTCTCGTGTCCAGGTCGCCAACTCTTCATTGAAGTAGTGACTTCAGAAATCCTCCAGCTCTGGAGGTTTGAGGCCGTCGGGCTCTTAGAAATAGTCGGATATAGCCTGGACCCAGGGTAAGGGGGGCCGGTTAGCGATTGGACCCCGAAGCCCCCAAAAAATTGCCCGAATCATTAAACCAGTCTGCCGCACTTGGTGTTTCTTCGTGTGTCTGTAGTTCCGGTGAGTGGAAGGGGGCGAGGGGGCGTCCCCCTGCACACATTATTGGACCCGGTCCCGCCAACGCCCGAAATGAGTCGGGGGCGGCCAAGTGGGAGTTGATGATTAGGGAAGGGGGGTATCATGGCGGGGGCCACGATATCTCCCCAGATTTCATGGCGCCTCTTCTTGTGTCGACGCGTCGCCTGGCACCCCCATGGGCCGCGCATGTGCCCAGGGCCATGGTTTGCGACCCCCCCTTCTGGGAGGCCCCCGTTGGGGGGGACGCCCCCGACGCGAGCAGGGCCATCGCCGCCCGCGGGGACCCCCTTCCGCGCCCAGGCGACGACTCCGACCCCGACTCGCCCTCGGACCTCTCGCGGCAGTGCTCCGCGAGGGCCCGCGGCGAGCGCTCGGAGAGCCCCCCCCCCGCGTCGACCTCCGCGGCGGGCGGCGGTCACGGCGGCGACGGCGCAGGCGGTGGCAGAGTTAGGCTTCTGTATGTTGAGACTGTCAACGCCGCTCTTCGGGCTCAAAGGGCGCGCTCGCTAGAACCTCTCGGGGCAGGGCTGCACTGCCGAGACTCAAGGTTAATCTAGGCTGCATTCGATCAAAGTGAGCTGCGCTCCGGTCAAGCCGGGCTGCACGGACCGAGTTATTCAAAATTACCTTGGCGGGCGAAGCGTTGGATCTCACGAGAAGTGATATCTGCGTTTAGCGGCGAAGGGTGGGTGAGATTGGTGGATGTGGCGCGGGGCGTGTGCCGCCATGTGCCGCTTGTCGGTTGCTGCGATTTGCCGCAAAGACAAAAACCAACGCAAGTCAAGGGCAACGTCAGGGGGTAGGGGCTCGACGGCGACGGAGTTTCGAGGTTCGAGGTTCGAGGCTGTCGGGCATTCTCGCCGAGGGCGTTCGGAGGCGTCCCGAGCTGCCGCTGGAGAGCGGGGGCTATGACCCGAAAGCCACGGGGCAATGTTGAGGGGATAGGGTCAGGGGGGCACATCCTCCCCGAATCGCCCAGGGAGCGCCGATGGGGGTCAGAAGGCCTGCCCCGCCCAGGAACGTGCGGCTTCGCTGTCGGGGGCAGCTCGCCGATCTGTAAGCAGTGTATCGGCGATTCGGGGTCGAGGTTTCCCACCTCAGCGGGTCCCCCCCGGACGTCCCCTCTCAGGTCGCGGCGGCGGTGATGGGGAGGAGGAGGAGGAGGAGGAGGAGGAGGAGGAGGAGGAGGAGGAGGAGGAGGGGGAGGAGAAGGAGGAGGAGGAGGAAAATATACCGTCACCGCTGCCGCTGCCCTTCTCGTCGCCATTGCTGGATTCGCCTCGAAATCTTGGTCAGAAAGTACCGCCGACGCGTCGCGATGCATTGGCAATGCGGCGGGATCCTCCGACCCCAGCTACTCAGACCCCATTGGGGAGGCCTCCAAGGAGGAAGGAGGACGACGGTTAGCATGGAGGAGGCAAGTGAGCCCGCGAGGGCGCGAAGCGGTTCGCCCCTGGTGGTTCGCGGTCTGCTCCCTTACCTCTCGGTGCCCATCTTCCTTCTCGTATTCCTCTCTCTACCCC